AGGATTGATGTAGGTTTACCTCTGTAGGTAATACACAGAACTATGCACTATAGTCTACTTTGATATTTCCTTTCTCATTTTTCCTTGTCAGAGTGAGTAACTGCCTTTTTTTATTCATTTAATAATTTTTACTTTTCTCTGGGATTTTCTTGGGTCCACCAATAATCTGCCCACAGCATTTTCCACAAGGTCACCTGCTTTTCCCAGCACATCTGGGCCTCCAGGCTGGAGCCCTGCGGCCTCCTGGGATTTCTGCCCAGCTCTCATCACTGCCCCTCACGAATGCTGTTCTCTGGAATTCCCTAGCTGGATGTGACTCTTTCTTCCTCTCTGTCCTATCTATAGGATGTATTTGCCACTCTAAAAGTGACCACCAGAGTTTGATGCCAGCAGGTGTGACTGAGATAGTCTGTCCTGGGAGTCCCATGGTGTCAGTGTGATTTGGTTGCCAGCTCTTCATGCCCACTTGTTGTTCTGGTGAATTTGCTCCTGAGCCGGATGTTTCTCTGGTCTTTCTCTGGGCTTATCTTCTGTTTTTCTCCCTGTTTTTTTGTGAAACAATTCTCTAATAGCTTATTGGTCATAGAAAAAAAATGTGGGTCTTTTTTTGTCTTCAGGAGTTTTATTTGATGTCATACATTTTTCAGTTTGACTGAATGTAGAATTGTATGTTGAAAGTGATTTTTAACTTGTATTTGGCATGCATTATGTATAGTCTTTTTGTTGTTGAGAAGTCTGAATGTAGAATAATTACTGACCTCTTATATGGAACCGATATCCCCCCTTTCGGAAAGACTGCAGAACACCGGCGTTAGGAATCCTAGTTCATAGTGATGAGTCTTTGGTATAAGCTGTATTCAGCGATTATGCTCTTTTCTTCATGAGCCTGTACAAGTTGGGATTTCTGTCCTGAAAATTGAAGGAAATTTCCTTTAATGACTTCACAGATGAGTCCCCCACCCTTCGTGATTATTGCTGCTCCAGGCTAGCAGAATCCCTGCTATTCAGATGTTGAATCTTTTCTATTTCCCACTTTTTCTTTGTTACTCTGAATTACTTTCAGAAAGAATTTCTTAACTTTTCTCTGAATTCTAAATTTCTCATACTATGTTTTAAAATTTATTAAGATTCTTTTATGGTACTTTGTTCTTTTAAAA